TATGCTTTAAAATAAAAATCTGTGTGAAATTTAGAATTTTTTGGTCAATATCCTAGGCTCGTCCAAGTCCATCAAAGTTCAATATGCTCAAAAAATAAAAATTAATAAATCAATTAATTAATAATTTTTTTTACTAAAATTGCAATAATCTTTGAGGGTATTAGTCCAACATAATTTGGTATATGGACATTTTTTGTAGAGAATCGAAGTTAGCTAAAAAAAAATTTTTTTAGTACTTGAAATCTAATGGACTTGGGCAAGCCTAGGATATTGACGAAAAAATTTTCAAATTTCACACAGATTTTTTTAGAGCATAATGTACCATATTTTTGCTATTACCAATCAAAATTCTAAAAAAGCGGATTTTTGGCCCACGCTAATATAGAGCCTTTTGAGGCAGAACTGTGGTAACCAAATGCAAGTTCAGTGCACGATTGTTAAGACCTCGTATTTCAATATCGCTGGTGTCCGGGACTGACTAGCTTCTCAAATATTTTAATAAAAATTGCGATACTGCCATTCGTACTAGCGTTGTAAAAATTCAATTTTTGAGTAAGACGCAAAAACGCAAAAGCAAATTCTTAAAAGATAATTTACGCTACTTATTTTTATGTATATGTATAAATCTTAGAAAAATAAGAGAACTTTGAAAGTACACATTCGGGGAAAGAAACATTTCTGTCTGATAGCATTAAATCACAACTTTCTACAGAAATTTAGATTCACTTTTTAATTTATTGCATTTTTAATTTTTCTAGCGTGTACCTACGCTTTCCAGCAATTCGCTTCACCGTCAACTACAAATTATCTGAGTGCCATTACTGTTGTGTCAGCCACGAAAATTCTCATTCTAAACAATGCAATTGAGTGACAACCACCACTTAAAACACGACAAACAACAACAAGAACCATTCGCATAAATACAACATAACGATAAACAATAGTAACGGCAGCAACAATCAAATATACAACAACGGCAAACAAATAGCGACACCAATAGCAACGAACAGTAACAATGAAAATAAAGATTCGGAAGAAGTAACCATGAGTAAATACATACATACATACATAAATCAGTAAAATGTAGGGCTTCACGTACTCCACTTGCAATAGTCAAACAAACCCACTGTTCCCCGCACACCCCACACACCCCACACTCCCTCATCAACTGCACTCCTCGTCTCTGCTTACTAAAGTCTTACATTCCGAAGCTAGTCAGCTCCGATTTTGCATGCGCTGCACTCCGCTGCACATCAAGAGGCGGGCGTTTCAATTGGCCTCCGCTACGCTGGTGCGCTACGTACTCGTCCCCATCTACTTACTCGAATTTCGGCCTCCTTTTGAGTGCGTTCCAACGTCACTTACATAGCGTTGCACTGCTTATGTTTACTTGATTGTTAGGTACTCTAGTTATAGTTGATACCTACTTATTATCAGCTTTATTATTACTTTGCCTATTGGACGTTGAAATATTCTATGTAAGCAGTGCAATATTAACGAGTATGTACATACATACATACATATGTGGGTCCATATGTTTAGTGGTAAATCCGACTTTGTAGTAATCTCATCAGACATTTGAGCGCCGCCGTCGCTTCGGCACCACGGCCCCAATTTCACTGTGCGCGCAATTTTACCTTCCACGCTCTATTCTACATACTCGTACGTGTTTTGAGGCTCGCGTTTTGTACTGTATGTAGGAAATTGAGAGCATTCGTAGCGTAGACGCCTTTGACGTGAGGCGAGACTTTATTACAAGCGTTTGGTAGGCGAAAGGTGCACTGTGGTATAGTGGTTCTATATCTTAAGTCAATCTATATCTATATATACAACGGTGCAAAAATAAATAAGGACGCGACATTTCAGCAAGTTTTGCCTATTTTTCTTTTGTTTATTTAATTTTTATTATTTTTGTAAAAGTGTAACTCATTTCAAACTTTGTGCAAGAATTATAAAAAATCTGCAAAATTGCATCTAAATTTTGAAATTTTTAATAAAATGTTTCAAAAATTTTTCGGGTATGCAGTTTTATAACCCATTAAGTTCTAGTGTACTGAAGTGCAAGTTTTAAGTTGCGAAAAAATCTAAAAAAATTCTAACACAGTTTTTTTTTATATGCAAAAAAAATGCACATCACACATAAACTAAATATTTTTATAAGGATGTCAAACTAATTAGCCCAAAATATTTTTTTAGTAGGGTTGCCACCTGTTTGAAAAATTTAATTTATTAAATTGATGAGATAAATGAAATATTAATATATGGATATCAAACTAAAGAGATTTAAAAGGGCTTACAGCCGAAACTATTTTTTAGGAGAGTTTGCAACTGGCTAAACACACTAAAATTATTAAATTGAAAAGTTAAATTAAATATTACAACGTGGGTATAACCAAAGAGGTTTAAGAAAGTTTACTGCTGAAAATGTTTTTTACGAGGGTTGCCACCTGTTTTAAAAATTTAATTTTGCCAATTGAATAGATAAATTAAATATTAATATATGGGTATCAAAATAAGAATAGATAAATTAAATATTAATATATGGGTATCAAAATAAGAAGGAACAGAAAATATTTTTTCATATCCAAAGTTATACCTTTTCCTCTGAGGCTCGCTATCTAGTTAGGTATAGGGTAATCAATACATTATTCTTATGTTTTTCCTTATGCTCCACCTGTGATTCTCTATAGAGTTTTGTAAGTTTTTGTTGTTCCTGTTTTTGACTTATATATTACTTAATTTTAAACATTAACATATTGTAATTCTTTATTATAAGTTACAGTTGTACTATAAAAGATCATTGGGATCTTATTGTGCTAATGTTATGTTTTATAATAAATGAAATGAAATGAAATGAGAGTTGCCACCTGTTTGAAAAATTTAATTTATTAAATTGAAGAGATAAATTAAATATTAATACATGGATATCAAATTAAAGAGATTTAAAAAGGTCTTGCAGCCGAAACTATTTTTTAGGAGAGTTGCCAACTGGCTGAACAAATTAAAATTATTAAATTGAAAAGTTAAATTAAATATTACAATATGGGTATAACTAAAGAGGTTTAAGAAAGTTTACTGCTGAAAATGTTTTTAGGAGGGTTTCCACATGTTTTAAAAATTTAATTAATCGAATTAAATAGATAAATTAAACATTAATATATGGTATCAAAATAAGAATATATAAATTAAATAAGAAGGTCTAACAGAAAATATTTTTGCGGAGAGTTGCCAGCTGTTTGAAAAATTTAATTAACTAAATTGATAAGATAAATTAAATATTACAATTTGGGTATAAAACTAAAGAGGTTTACGGAAGTTTACTGCCGAAAATATTTTTGAAATGGTTTGCCACCTATTTCCAGAATGCAATTCAATTTAATTAATAACATAAGCAAAATGTTTCAATATGTGTGTCAACCGAAAGGTATTTAAGAAATCTTTGATTTAGAAATATTTTCAATTCAAAAATATAGCAATCAAATGAAACACTACAGCTGTCGGTAGCAGAGGAAACGGAAGGTCTCGTATGCATTGGAGAGTCAGGTTGACATTTCCAATTGACATCAGTCGGCATAGAAGAGAAACGACTGGCGTGCTGTTTTGGAGTCGGTCAAAATCGCTTAGACGGTTACAAGATTGGTACCAAATAAGAAGTGTTTGAGAAAGCTTTACTAGATAATATTTTTGAAAGATTTCCATCTATGCAAAAGCCGAACATTAAAGAGATTTTGAAGAAGAAAGATTTCGCATCATATTATCAAATGGAAACGCAACAAAAACAACATGGAAAAATAGTTCTGAACTAAAACGATGAATCCGCCTTTAATTTGACATCGAACGAACGATACAGATCTGATGGCGCGGTGTTCAATTTTTAACGGAAACATCTCCGAAAAAGGGTACGTAATACTTTTCTATCGCCGCAATTACTTCATGCTATAGAACTGATTAAAAAAATGTGCCCAGTGTGTCAAGAAAACTGATACCGTTTTCAACGGATTAGCTAAGCTATTTGGTCAAAGTAGCTCGCCGGCCTAAGCTAACCTAACATCCTTAAGTGGAAAGTTAGGAGATTTCCCCAAAATTGTGAATAAAATTAAGAGTCAGGCCGCGAGTTCTATCCGGATTTTTTGAATATGCGGCTTATCAGGATATGCGAATATACAAATATCTGATTAAAAAGTACAAATATCCGGATAATAAAATGAACGGATATTAACCGGGATATAGTGGTTTTATACGTATGCCGGAATATCCGAACGGATAGCCGGATTTCCGATTACACGGATAGACCTACAGCTCTAGTTAGAAGTTTAAAATTTTAATGCAAACTGTTCGGTACATTTTGTCCCACTGTACCGTAGCATGACAACAGACAAGCGTCAAGTTCCATTTCACTTTGTCCATGTTTCGCGTATTTTGTTGCCGTATGCGCACACGAACCGAATTATTTGCTGTTTATTATTATTATTACGGCTTTTCACGTTGTTGTTGTTGTTGTGATTGTTGTCGAGTGTGTTTGTTCTCCTTTTTTGTTATATTTATTTATTTTGCATGCCAAAAAATTCCTCTCTGCCCTACAAATAACAACAACTTTACAGGTACATACATACATACATATGTATGTAGGTGCATACTATCAACAACTAAGCCAACAGTAACAACAAAAGCAACTGATTGCATTAAATCCGCTATCAACTTACTACGCTAAGGTTGACAAGCAGCGCAGCATAAAAACGCAAGTGCGCGTGGGAGGTATTAGGGTCGATGTTGATGCGGGTGATATTGGCGGTAAAATTAGAGAGAGCAGTGAAGCAGGTGCTTTGTTTTGCATTTTGTCAATTAGACTGTCAATCAGTCCCGTCGTCATTTCGACACTTTATCAGCGAGAGTCAGTTGCGCCAGCCACGCCGCGCTCAGTATTTAGTATGTCAATGAGCCACCCAATGAGGCGGCGGGTAGGCAGCCAGCCCGGCCAGCAAGCCAACAAGCAAGCATGCCAGCGCCAGCGACAGTAAATCAACCAACCAACCAACCAACCAACCAACCGCAAGGTAGCGCGGCCAGTTGGCCCAACAGTCGTCACTCAGTAACTTCAGTCAAGTTAAACCGACCAGCCGCAATCGTAAAACACAATCGAAGTAATCGGGTTGAGTAAATTCAAATTGGCGCTGCGTTTCATTTGCAGGTAATTCGCGGGAAATTCTGCAATTGAATTAAGGAAGAGGAATGTTCAAATCTACTTAAGTGCAATTGAAGGAGTTCTAAGTGAAAGTGTGAAAAAAGTGTGCAATAAAACAAGTGAAGGCAATTAATTACTTAAATTGCCATTTAGATTGATTTGCAAGCGCAAAAATATTAAATTAAAGAAAAAGAAAAAAACGCCTACAATCCAACCACACAAATATTAGTAGCGTGGCGTGTTTGAGAGGAAGTAAGTGCAACGAAAATTTTAATTTATTTAGTGCATTCCAGTGTTTACGCTCCGGTGTTGTCCTTTCGCGCGTGCCGTTTGCGCTTTTGTGTTTTTTTTTGTTTTTTTGTTATCCTTTTGTTGAACGTGTGTTCACTATTTTCGTCCCGTTTTCGCATGTAATGGAACTTTCGTGTTCGTTCCACATCCAATCCATCATCTTTCCCCTATTTCACTTGTTTATTATCGTGTGTGTGTCTTGTGCTCGTTTCAATGTTTACCTGTCGCCCAGACCGCTTCAATAGCGGTGTTTTATTTCATCGCCTTTTTATGCTGATTTCAACATTTTGCAGTCGTATTGCGATGTCTCTTCGCCGCATCGATTCGCTGAAACGTTTTATAGATCGCATTCACAATTGGGTAAGTAGGAAAGTGTTTGGATGTGCGCATAAACCTATTAGCCTTAACCCTTCCAGGACCAAGGGGAAATATTTTAGTGAGTTTTTAGCAGTTTTATATACATATTCTTTTTTCGAATTGTCTCACATTCATTTAGCTATTTATTCTTTTCAAGAGATTTTATAAGAAATTAGTAAGTAAGGCTCATCCAAATAAAAATTTTATTTTTATGGAAAATTTAAACACAATTTTGTTTTAGACATTTTCTGGGAGAAAAACAATTTTTGTGAAAAATTAACAAATTAATAATTCAGAAAAAAAGAGTTCTTCAGGACAAAAATAACTTTACATAAATAAAAAAAAAAATACTAAGCTTAGAAACGAAGGTTTTTTTGAGCAAAAAATAATTTTTGCACTATAAATTATTTATTTTGGATTTTAGCAGAACATTTTTTTTGCTCAAATTTTTTACTATTTTTTAATGTAAAAAACTTTCTTTCCTTTCTTTATGAATCACATTTTGCAATTCAATTCTTGCGTTTTTTTTTTAATTAAAGGCTTATAGTTCTGAGAGGGTTAATATTGTAAAGAAATATAAACAGTTTGTAAATGTTTACGTACATTAGAGCGGGTCAATTTGTATGGAATGTTTTTTCGACTATGCGCATATAGCATAGAAGGATGCCACGTGCAATTTTAATCAAATATGACGAAGAAGCCATGTGTCTTAAATCAACTTGGAGTTTTCCAAATTGCGAAGACGCTCACTCCATCAAATCTGCGTACACCCTGTATTTTTTTTTTTTAATATTCACAATGTTTTGTAACCTATAACTTTTTTGTTATTTTTGTACAAAAACATGGTTCATTCTATAAATAAAACCATATATGTACTTACATAAATCAAGATTCCAAACTGTGTACAAAATTAAGGAAAATCTAACGAATTTTCATCAATATATTCAATAAAATTATTAAAAATTTTATGGAGATCAAAGCGACAAACTTTATGTGCGCTTATAAATAGAATCAAAATACCTTGTTTTGAAATGGAAATTTTCGGTGATTGTTTTTTGTTTTTACAGGTTAAGCGTAGATGTATATGCGTGTAAAAAAAAACACAGCTTTTGTTATACTATAAAACTGCATACCATAATTTTGTTAGAAAATCTGAGTAACAAATTTAAAATTTTGACGAAAATTCGTTTAATTTCCCTTAATTAACCGACTTCACAAAAAGGAGAAATATTATCAATTCGTCTGAATATTTTTTTTTTATATATGTTAGCGCTTAACTTTGCACCAAGTTAACCGATTTCTATAATTCTTTTTTAAAGGAAAAGTGTTGACGCACAGGTGGTCCCATTTTAATTTGGTTTAAATCCGATCATTGGATCATGAAGAATATAACGATAATCCTAAATTTTTATATGTGAATTAAAGTCGGTTTTGTTTTTTGCTTAAAAATTACTTGTTTTGTATACAGTTTGAAACTTTGATTGATATTGTTTAGTGTATAAACCAAGGCGACTACATATAAGGTGGTATCGATTGAACAAATACAACAATTACTTTTATTTTGTTTTTGCTTTTAGCGGGCCATTGTCAAAATTCAGCTATTCTTCCCCGAATGAAAAAGGGCGACAGAAAATGCAAACACTCTCACGTTCTCACTCACTCACTAACGAAATTCAAAATTTTGACAATCAAACGCTACTCACAGCTGATGAAACAACACCACCTTATATAAATTCGCCTTGGCATAAACCATATCTTTGTAAAAAAAAATAACAAAAAAATAATAAAGCTTGCAAAACACTGCAAATATTAAAAAAAAAAATACAAAAGGTGTACGCAGATATAGTGGAGTGAGTGTATATTTAGATCACTTTTTTCTGTGTGAAGAAAATGAAAACAAAACTCCGTCGGGTCCGCTGGGATATATAAGGTCCATTCAGTGTCAAAAAATTATTCCGAATTGTTACTAGTACTTGCAAGTTTTTACTGGAGATGCATTCAATAACCCAAAAAATTTGCAAGAGAGAGCGAATTCGAGAGCGTAACAACCCGAGAGTGCTGGAAATTTTCGCAAGTAAAAATTGTACTAGCAGAAATTTGCAGAAGATAAAAAGTAAGGTTATGTTTCAAATTCAAATGTAAACAAAGTGTTTAAGAGGCTAATTTGATGAAACATATTTAGTGAAATGAAAATATGGATGAACAATTTAAATCTATTGTATATATTTTTTTTTATTTTTATGAAAATATTCCAAAAGAAAAAAAAATAACAATAAAATTTTGCGCCAAAACTTAACCGTCAGAAAGTGTAAAAGTGGCGGTAAGTTGCAAGTTTTTACTAGTTTTGCGTTAAATAACTTTTTCTGATAATTTGCCTCGCCGCTTTGAAAGCTTTCCACCACTGATTTCTGATTCGAATGAAATTAAATACTGTTAAAAGTTTACCTTTTTCGCTCTTTTGCTTGCATTCCTAGTTGCTAACAAGCCAGTCGAGTTTTTATGCTGAGTGCAGTCCTTGGTAACCAAAGTGAAAAAATTTACATCCAACAATTACCTTAATTGATTTTTTTTTATGCGATTAAATAGTATATATTTTTTCACTTTCAAACTTCTTAGGTATACACATGCACACAAGTCCTGGTGCATACATATCTACATATACATATGTATGTATGCATACAAAGCACAGAAAAATTGAAAATGCAAAGCCTCTTCATAGTACGAGGCAGTACATACTCACATACGTGGGCATTTTGAAAAGTCAGTGACTTTTTGAATAAAATATATATTTTTCGGCAAAAAAAAAGATTTATTTTTCAACATAGTCTCCTTTTAGCTCAAAACATTTAGTCCAGCGTTTTTCTAATTTCGCGAGTAGAAGTTCGCATCCCAATTGATGTCTCTATTTTATGGTGACTAGACACGTGTGCACCCGGGCCTTGTCCTGATGGAACAGCAATTTTTCTTTTCCAAATGCGTTCGTTTTGCTTCAAATCCATGTAGACTCTGCTAAAAATCTCTGAATAATATTTTACAGTGGTCGTTTTACGCTTTTCAAGGTTTTCAATGTGAATGATACCGCGTGCATCTCAAAAAACTGCGGTCATGACTTTATTAGCCGAGAGACCCAGTTTGGCCTTCATTGATACACTTTTTGATTGTTCCTTGGTCTCTGGTGTATTGTTGTGGATTCATGTTTCGTCGTTCGGATTTCGACTTTCGCTTTTATAATCGAGTGTAAGCAAGCGCGGCATCCATTGCGCCGATACCTTTTTCATATCCAAATATTCATGCAAAATGTGATGCACCTCCTCAGTTCAGATGCCTACAGCATCAGCCACCGCACGCACTTTCATTATCCGATCGTCCAGTATCATTACACTGATTTTATCGACGACTTTAGGCGTGACGCCCCCCTTTTGGACGACCTGAACGTTCGGAGTCCACACACGACCACCACGGAACTCAGTAAACCACTTTATAGCCATTGAAATTGATGGTGCACAAATCCCACTGTACTAAACAAGCCTTTCCCTGCTTTCGGTAATGTTTATCAACAAAGGGAATTAATTTTTTTTCCATCTTGGTTACAATTTACGGCTGTCAAACACAAACTAAATGTCAAAGCTTACTCAAAATTTTCCAGCAGTTTTGCGTTTAAAGATACTGCGCGGGAAATTAAAAAAGTCACTGATATTTCAAGTTGACCTCGTCTTTTTACATTTTTTTTTTGTATGGGTATATATGCACATTAGGGTAGTCCAAAAACGCATGTTAAAAAAAAAACAGAAAACCATTTAGAAGTCGCTCAAAGCGCTCAAAGTTGTCCATGTACGAAAAAATGCGTCACTTAAAACTTCTAAAGGAAATGCAACTATTCTCCTTGCAGCAACCAGATTTACGTGTATGTTTGCAGCCCTGTTTTGTACGAACCTTGTCCCACTATTTTCTTTTCAATTCAAAATTCAACAGATTTATTCTTCTACTAGTAAAGAAAAGCATAATAAAATGGTGGCCCTTTTTTCGCCAATGACGCCTTTTTTGCGACTTTCTGAATATTCTCAACGGCAACACTGCTCCCATTAATAATATCCAATTGTTTATGTAACCAATTTTTTTATTCATAGTAACTATAGATCCACCAAACACCTCTAAAAATGATGTTTTTAGAGGTCCTATAAAAACAGTTGTTAATAATTAGGTATTATTATTGGAAGCTTCCTGAAGAGAATCGAAGTTTCCCGATCGAAAAATATTGATTTTCAAGAATTCCATACAAAATACATGGAAAAATTTGAGCGCTTTGAGCGACCTCTAAATATTTTTTGATTTCGAAAAAAATGTATAATTTTTTTGGTACAGAACAATCCTAGGGTGTGAGAGCATTAAAATTCCGACTTTACTTTTTTTTTTTTTGGCCACCCTAATGACATTCTAGTACGGCTAACTGCGTCAACTAGCGTGACTAGTGGCAATTCTTTCGCTGATTTAGTGCAATGACTTTTCTACCCTTAATCATGACAAGCTATTCTGGCCGAGAGCGTTGAGTGCAAATATCCTTTTGACTATCGTTTTAACGCCTTCCATATACATATGTATATACTTCCGTGTAATCATTTACATACATATGTATGTACTTAACATTTGCTCCTTCACGACGCGGCAGCTATTAAAACCTGTGTCTATGCGCGCAGACTGTCGGCCATCAATTTCCGTTTAGCAAAATTTGCCTTTGAAGGTGCGGCTGACTGACAACTCCTGCGAGCGACAGTTATTCCAGAGGGAGTACTGTAAATAGAAAGTGCTTAAAAATAGAGTTACTTTTATGAGTTCGAAGTGAATGGAATGATATTTGAAGCTTGATGGATTCCGCGAATGCTTCCACTGTATTTTTGATTCGGATTTATTTCGAACCCAAAAAGACGCCACTTATAAAAACAATTCCATTACTTAAGAATATTAAAATTAAATTAGTGAAATTTTTTTTATTACTTTCGAGTCGG